TTCTGTTACGCTAATAGAAGAAAACCAGTATGTCTTACACAACCCACCACCCCACTCCAAACAAACAAGATGCTTCAGGCTTCATTTATTGGGTACATGGTTTGATAAAATAGAAAAATATAATTCCCCATACACACAACTATTCAAAGGTCTAAAACAAAAACTCTATTGACTATCTAGCAGGTATTTATTTAATAACGAAAACATGATTCAATATTGATGCAGATTATGACTCAACAAAAGAAATCTCAGCTAATTGGAAGCAAAATTGATTTACAGTACACCAGCTTTTTCTTGAGTATCATTATCCATTTCTACACTGGGAAAAATAAGAAAATTTCTCAAAAAAAAAGTTTCATGGGACATCCAGAAAACAGATCATTTCAGTTATCAAATGTCCAGATTTTGGGCTTGCACTGTAACAAATATTTTTTGATAAAAGAAAAAAAAAAAAAAGATTTCAATAATAAATGCTAATTGAAAGAAATATGTCATCAATTCATTCCTAAAATCTAATCAAACCAGTTCAAACAGGACTTGATGTAATAACTGAATTTATTAAGTCATTAAGAATGAGATTTTTATGATGCAAATGCAGATAAGGGACCGAAACAGTAGATTTTGCGGCAATGTCATCTCAATAGATCAATGCACCAATATAGACCACAGATATGGATAGAGAATGACAAAATTTAAATATCCGAAATTGAAAATTTTACTTAAAAAATGACAGAAGAAAAAGTCTGTCTACCAGTGGAATTCTATTTTCTGAAGACAAATTCTATTCAAAAAAGAAGAAAAAAAAATTTAAAACAGAATATTAATAAATGTTTATGTCTGAATTATGAAATTTACACAGATCTTTCTTTCAAAGAAAGAGCATCAAAATCTGTTACAAGAGAAACTTCAGATTAAGGTACTTTAAAACAAAGAAAATGTTTTCATACAATCGCATTACACTGATGAAGAAAAATATCATGGATTTATTTAAGATAAATGTATACACACTTGATCAAGAACTGTTATTTTAATAAACAGTGAATTTTTTACTTGCCAATGGCTAATCAACAATGGTTTTAGCAATGATGGTTGGATGAAACTTACTGTTAGGCAGGGAAAAAAAGTATTCAGTATAAATTTATCAGAAAATGCAAGATAACAAGTTAGATTTTGCTTGTTAAACAAGATGGTTAGTATATACATATTAAAACCAGGAGGAAAAGCACATCATTAAGCATATGTAAGTTACTTTTAAATATGGTTAAGTAAAAGTTACTGTAAGAGGGGATAAAAAAAGGTTTTAAGCATAAAAATAGCAAACATAAATTAACTGGCTTAAAAATACTTCATTTCCTTTTTATTAAATTTGCATGGGACTCCTAATGCCCCCCCCCAACAAAACTGTTCCAAAGACATAGTGAACAGGGAGACAATTTTTAATCACATTTGAAATTTCCAGGGATGGATCTTGACTAAATTTCATACCGAAGCAAGTATTCAAGCTAGCGATTTTCTTAGTGACCACTACGGCTTTTTGCTAACTTCACTTTTTAAAAATATAATAGAAATTAGATAAAATAGTAATAAATACATGGAAAATTATATGTGCAAACAGTGCAAAGACAAAGATAATAATTGTTGTAATGCTATAATGTGCAAATTGGGAACAGCAATGAAATAAAACTGGGGGAACATTAAAGGAATGGTTGCTACCTCTGAACTGCACATTCAAGCTTTGAATTGTTACTGCCATTTTTTGTGGTATTCACATTTACTGAGTTCGGTTGATCTTTACAATATGGTAACTGGTAGTTTGGCGACATTTTGGAGGCGATAAAGGTTACTACCTGGGACTTTGGTAATAATGTGAGCAGTACTCAGTTCCGATTACGCATTATTTTGTGTGGGGGAAATGAGAGATCATGGGATATGTCATGTGATATTAATGGACGAATTACGGTTCTTTAATCGGAAAAGGGGGGAATTTGGACAAGTATCTGTGGATGTATATTATTTTGTATTAAGCTTCATTGTGTGTTGTGTGAAGTAGGGTGAATAATTTTGGGATTGTATGGCGCTGTCTAAAGTGAATTGTAGATGTGATAAAGAGAATTTTTTTTTTTTATCAAATTCGGAAAAAAAAAAAATCGTCAGTAATTTTATTGAATCCATAATAAAAGTGTATCCACCATGTAAGGAAGATTCGGAAGAAGATTAGGTTAGTTAGACTTTGTTAAGAATGTGAGTAGTATTCAGTTCTGATTACGCATTATTTTGTGTGAGGGAATGAGAGATCATGGGATACGTTATGTGATATTAATGGACGAATTACTGTTCTTTAATCGGGAAAAAATCTGGCAATTTTGTATTTGGCTTTATTCTGTGTTGTGTGAAATAGTGTTTGTGAATTTTTGGATCCCATGGCCGTAACTAAAGTGAATTCGAAATGGGTATTTAGTGGTATTGAAAAGGATAGTAATAAATGTTTTTTAAGGTTGTGTGCGAGAGAGAAATAAAGATGTTTATTATGTTATTTATTTTACCTGGTATCTTGCTTTGAAAGATAAGTATGATTTAAAGATTCTGAAACAGAAGTAAGAAAAGTGTATCCGCCACGTAATCAAGATTCTGAAGAAGATTAGGTAAGTTAGTATTTTTAATTATTTGAGGATATTATTTTTATGCATTGTTGTAAATGTAAGGTGGAAAGGATTTGGTATTATTGGGAAAAATTGTTATTAGCAATGATTTAGTTTAAAGTAATTAGGATTGTAAGGTAATTTTTATTAATTTAATGTATGTGCTCATTTATATTTTTAAGTAGTGTTTTTGAATTTAATTATATTTTAATGAATGATAGTTATTTGTGAATTTTGTTTGTAGAATTTGGTTATACGTTTTAATTGAAGTAAACGTGCATGGAAATAATTTAAATATCTGACACTAAGTATTTGTAATGGTTGCGGTATGAATTCGTTGGTGACGTTTATAATAAATAGATGATTTAGAGGTAAAAGTTTTTGAATATTTTATTTATTTTATATGTGGAAATGTTCATATTTGTAAAGGGTAAATACTTTTTCACGATCAGGTAATTTCATATATGTTCTTTTTACCGGGTTTAAAGATCAGAAATTGTCATGTATTTTCGTGAAATTTTTCTAATTTATGAGAAAAAAGCCAGTGTACATGGATATAGTGAGAGTGTGTGCATGCATACCATTTTTGTGCAATTCTGGGATGTTTTTTTAAGTAAAAATAAGTCGGTGTGACATGGTTTATGTGTATGTGTTATTTGAAAAATGCATAAGGAGAATGGTATTGTGCAGTTTTTCCTAATTTTGCAGTGAATATTTGTCATGATTAAGCAGTTTTGTTTGATAAAATTTCTAGCATAAGTGTAATTCGGCTAGTAGATTGTTGGAAGAAGTGTTCAGGAGATAAAAAGAAAAGAAACATGTCTTTACTTCGTGAAGACAAAATGGCGGCAAAATAGACAAAAATAGAGGGTTGCTGTAGGAGAGTTGGTCGCCAAATTTTCGCCAAAAAATCGCCAAGTTACCATAATGTAAAGATCAACCCTGAGTTCTCTTCAGTATGCTTAGAAAAAAAAAATAAATAAATAAAAGATATAAATAGAATTTTCATTATTTCATAACATCTTTCATAAACAATTATCTTAGATCTTTCATAAACAGGTATTATTCATATTCCTGATTATATTAAAGCCCATCACACTTTCTACGGATATCAAGCAGAGCTATAGAGCTTTCAGATTAAAATCATATTTTGATTCACTTTCCCTTATTCAGACAGTTATAGTTAAATTATAGTTACTTACTTTAACAGCTACTGTATCACACTTGAGGAGAACAAAATTTTGGAATTTTTGCAAGAATTAAAAACATAAGGATTAAAAAAAGGGCTGCTCCATACCCATTCAGTTTTAGTTCATGCTTAATTGATAATATAGTGTTATAGCAAATTAATTAATTAAATAATTAAAAGTAGTTCAAACGCTGTAAAAATGCAAATAGATCTGTTTCATAAGCAATGGATATGTTCAGCAATTCATAAGCCTCAGTCAATATAATAATTTCTAAATACCACAACAACTATATCACAAAATTTAAAAATTATCCATTTAAAATTTCACACACAAAAAAATCATTTACATGACTTTTCACACTTGAAATTTTAAAAGATTACTGAATACTGTGCATTTAAACTATACCAAAACACACACTAAAAGTAAAATTAACTTTTTGTATGAATTCATTCCTAATGTGAAAATCAAATAACATCTTGACTACTTCATACTGTGTGCATGCATTATGTCAGCAAAACGAATGAAATTTTAATAATTCGAAGCATGAATAAATTCTCAACTTTTTTGTGTATTTGCATAATTAAGAATTTTTTTTGTACCATGCTATAAATTGAATTTCAGCAACACTATCATATGCATAAGAACCAGTCATGAATCATTAATTATACCGTACAACATAATTGGTCACATATGTGTTTGAATGGCAGAGTTCTTACTTAACAAATCATGCGCTATTTAGCAGAAACTGAACTATTATTGCAATTGCTTTATTTCTTAAGATACTACATACTACATACATATAATGAAAAAAATTATATGTATATACACTGCTGGTTTAGCCACCTATCAGAGTTATATCTCGAATTCAAAGCGCTTCATTTTTAATGGCAGACTGCAAAATGCCAAAAGTACAGTACAGGCAGTCACGAATATAAAAAATACAAAATTTGAAGTCATTGCACGAATTTTAATTTGAATACTTCACACTGTAGCATTTAATATTTTTAGTCACTAGCGAATTGGCAATGCAAAAGGAAGTTTAACAGTCATAAAATTAATTCTGATCGCAAAGAGTTTATCGAATTACAATACACACAAATACCAGACAAATATTTACAGCGTCAGATAAACTGTAATCAAGTATTTACTAAAGGAAATTAAACTTCCGTACCAAACGATTTGTTCTCACATGAAACGAACACTGAACTTTCTTATATTTCTTATACAAAACCTGCCATCCTAACACCTCATCTATCTTTATAAACATAATATTTACCACTTTCAACTGAGACAACGCACAGAATTCAAATTTTCGTTAATTTTATGCATGTTTACAAAGCCTACAAGACCTTTCCTTTTGCGGTTTGCTTTGATTGGATAAAACGATCTCCTTGGCGGTCATACTGGGAATGTCCACTTATCGAAGTCCGTTACAATTATGCGACACTAGCCGTCACTAGAGCTACTAGAGATACAGGCTGACTCGTCAGCCATTTTGAATCTAAGCTTAGGGTTGCAATTTGGTGTGGAGCGGCAACTTTGGCTCTTTAGCGCTGTCCGCCTAAAATTTAACATTCTAGAGAATCCGAATTTCAGCTTTTTCTGCACACTCGTATAAAGATGTGTGGCTTTTTCCCTTCTTTTGTCTGCGTACAGATTCTTTCTCGTATTTTTTTTTTTTTAAATTGCCAATTTGTATGATTCAGTTATTTTAAAAGTTCTAAACATTTCACTATCATATTTCAAATTTGTATTTTTAGTTAAAAATGCTTTCTTTTGAATTCCTTTATTGAATTTCAATTTTTTCTTTTAAAACACGCCTTAAGTATATTATCTCAAAAATGTATTTTTTGACAAGAGCTTTCCCTCAACCCATCTTATATGGTTGAGGAAATCCCTCAACCTCCATTATTTGGATAAGGTTTAATCTTATTTTTGTTTTTATTTTTAATAGTTCTTGAATTTGCCCACATGGCAATCAAACGTCTATTACTGTAGCAAATGTTATTTTGCATGTGTTTCCAGAAAAGGCAGCTAAAGGTTTCATGATTTTAAGTACTGATTCAAGACATGCACTTTTAAATTATAATGCTTTTAGATTGAAGTGCAGAATGCTATAAAAATTCCTGCTCCGAGACTGTGGATTCATAGATTAATAGAGTAAAAATTTCCATTTTTTTTTTTTT